AAAAAAAAAAAAAAAAAAAAAAAAAAAAAAAAACATATTCGATTTGTCTGATGTGAAACCACTAACTTAAAGTAATGGACAAAAACCAACGAAAAAATGTAATTGCAGCATAAAAATTAAAATGGACAAAAAGAAAACATAGTTAGAATGGAAAATAAAAAATGCCACTTTTAGCTAGTTTAAGCTTTTTGAACAAAAACGGTTGTCATGGAGATGATAAATATTATCTCGTACTTATTTAATGTCCATTTTTTTGTTTCTTCTTTAAAACTCGTGTCTCAATCTCTTATTTATATACAAATCCTCAAGTGTACAAAACTTACTTTTATGCCCCCTCTCAAAGACTTTTTTTTTTTTTTTTCCTGAGACATGGTTAAGTTTTCCAAAGAGCTCGAAGCTCAACTTATCCCCGAGTGGAAGGACGCTTTTGTCAATTACTGGCTGCTCAAAAAACATGTCAAAAAGATTAAGCTATCAAGAAAAGCCAAGAAGCATGTGCCCAATGCCGAACAAGACTTCGGTCGGTCCATTTTCGACCCGATTCGTGTTCTTGCCGGAAGAATAACCGGCGGGGCCACCGCTTGTCGGAACACGGAAATCATTCAGGTGATCATCAGATTCAAATCATAATAATGTTTGTTATTTATTAAATTCATTCAGGTGATCAAATAACTGCCTAAAAAAGGTGGCAGAAAATGGTTAAAGTTTTGTATTTTTTTTTTATTTTTCTTTTTCATGGGGAAATCGTGAAAAGGAGAAACAGATTTAACAAACCCGAAAGGGACACAAACAGATTAATTAATTAATTAATTAATTAATTATATAATTAATTAATTATTAAACTCGGAAGTATGTATTATGCTGATGATCATGAGTCGTTACAAAAACTAATATTTCCTTAATTTTGCAGGTTAAGAATAGAATTGATGTGCAAGAAGAAGAAGTTGAACTGTATGAAACCGAACTAGTACAACTATTTTCTGAAGAGGACGAGGTAATTAATTAATTAATTAATTAATTAATTAATTTAATATTATCAAGCAATTAAAATGGATTTATAGGGAGTTGGACTAATATTTGACCTAACATTAGGCCGACCCTATTAAATTCGGGCTTTAAATTGATCCCAAAATCCGACACGTATTAA